CAATAGGTTTAGAGAATGTATTAAAATTAAAACTCAAATGCAGTTTTTTTTTTACAAATTGTACTGCGTACCAGTTATGTCGAACCTGAGCCCTTTTCATCGTCTGTTTTAGATTGTAATTTATGTTGTAGGCCCCTATGTCTTTCTGAATTGCTGGACAATTTAATGTACATATTGTATGTGTGTGTATTGTTTTGCTTGTGATATTTTAATGGACTTTTAATAACTTTAGACACGCAAAAGCGAAAAACATTTCATAAAGAGGTGACTATAAAATGGCATACATATACTTGCCAGTTTCGGTGATGATCGAATGTTGTCCAATATGCAAAATAAAAAAAATCGCAGTTTCGATGACATGGCTATGTCACGGAATTTTTCGATAAACATGCACATTCACTTTAACTATCAAATGTCTTACAAAACGAATTTCAAAAATACTTTTTGTTCAGGAAATATATTGAAAAGAATGATCAGAGGTGGAAAGTCGCTTTTGTATGAATATCTGGAGATCAGGACTGGTGTTTGTGCCAAGTTTAAGTTCACGTTGCACCGTCTTGAAGAAAAAAATGAGCAGACCAATGACAACAGCAAAAGAATGAGTGATTCAGGTTTTGCATGATCACCTGAAAACGATAACTTTCTATAAATCTCGTTGTGATTAGTAAATTGCCGTTCATGCCCGCATTGTCGTGCAGCAGATTGTATCTGTTGTAATGCAATAAGCCTTTTGCGAGTTAAACATGAATAAAATCTATTACACTGCGTGATCTGATTGTGTGATTGTGTAGCGACCACCATCCCCTGGATTCCTTTGAGCCCTTCTTATCCATTGAAAACAGTGTATTTATGCAAAGCGTCTCTTGTGTAACTAGCTAAACAAAACCTTTTGCCATAGGAACAGCAATCATGTCTTTTGTATATGGAGAACTGAAATTATGATGTTCACATGAAGATACAGAAACTCAGTGTACCAAATTTTATTTGAATTTAACTCGCGAATGTTACGTGACGTGTAGACCTGCTCATCTACAAACGCCTAATGCCATCGACTTCATGTGCGACATTTCCATTTCACGTTGGAAACATCATACGAAGCGGCCTACATAATTGAATGGTGATTGGCAGTACTAAAAGCCCTTAACATACACTTAGTTATAAATGCCATCAGCGATGATAACCATTCCAGTTCATTATCGGATAGTTTTGAAGTCTTCATATCCCGAACAGGTCGCGGCTTTTACAAGTAGGCTTGGTCATGGGAGTGAAATGTGCGATGAAAGAGCTGAAACAGTATCGAGAAAAAAAAATAACCAGCTATTTTGGGCTAGTTTCTCTTCTATTCTTCAACAATGAAAAAAAAAGAAATAAACTATGTTACCCATGCAGCATGTGAATACCTTTTCAAAGGCAGCGCACGTCAATGAAGGATAATCCAATCACTTTGTTTTTGAAGGGCGATGTTTGTCAAAATTCAATCTATGACGCCCATTGTCAGTAGCGAAAGCAAGCCGTGCGTTTCATTGTTGATAACCTTTCCTCGTCGATCAAACAGGTAAAAATTGCCAAAGCACCTATGCCTTTCCAGTGGAGAAAGCGAGGAAAATTCGATCTCGTTGCCAGGCAGAATGAAAGAAAAGAAAACCCACAGATGTTGTGTTTCGGAGCTAATGAAATCAAACTGAAAAATTGTTTATGTTGGCGGACCATAATTGCAAACGGCGGCCAGGTCACATTTGGTTCGGTATGCCCTCAATTTCTCTCAGCCATAGAGGGTTTTGAGGGATAAAGCAAATACGAAGAGTCCATGCTATGAACGTGAGTGTGATCTTGACACGCACGAGATAACTGCTTGGGCATAAATCTAAGGTGGCGGGGGATGGGGGTATACCCCCCCCCCTTTTGAGGTAAGGGATGGGCTATCGAATCATCCCCCATCAACAAAAAAGTTAAAGCGGATTGTGAAGAATATTTCAGACTTTCCAACGAGTAAAATGCAGTCAATATCACTCAAAAAAAAGAAAAGAAATAAACTCTGCCATTCTGAAGTAAGATTCTGCATGAATGTAATATAATATAGATGCAAATCACTCTCATGAACACTGACACCTGTATAGATGTCAGTGCCATCTGTATAGATGGTAGATTTCTGTATAGAGTGTCCCCCCCCCCGTTTTTCAAATTTTCACGGCCGGGCAGGTCTTCCCCAAACATTTTCACATCCCATATACCCTCCAATTTCCGACGCAAAACTATGCCACTGAATGAAACTGGACCCATGCAGACTTTGCATCTAAACAAATGGTCATGTTTCAATAAGCCGATGGGTGTTGGGACTATTTGCGCTTTCAAGGGATAATTGTATCTCAGTCTTCGTATCTAAAAGAGTGTCATTCGAACTTTGTAGGAATACCATTGTGCAGAAACGGAATCATTTTAAAACAGCTTTTGTTTGATGAAGCTTACAAGGTTTTCGAGAATTCTAAACATTTTCCTGATTTTTTTTCTGTCCTTTTTGTTTCTCGTGGTCATTGTGTTTAAAGTGAAGATGTCATCTGTGGTAATTTATTTACCGCACTGCAACCCTACAGGCTAATTTTGATTACGCTGTGTTGATGGACGTGGATGGACATCCGATCCGACCACGTACCGCTGTGAATAAACGAGGTTTTGGGAGCAAAAATGCCATGAGGCGCGTCTCTGATACTTTACATTACGACATGAAAGCTCGAACATGCGCGGTGTACGGTCGTGCGCACTAAGGGAGGGAAAAACAGAGGCTTGATATGTGATGGTTAATGGGAAATACAAGTAATATGTAGGATGTCAGTGGTTCCAGTCTTAGATGACATTCCCCCTGTTTCCCTTTCAACGATTCGTTTCCTGCTGGAAAAGAGGTTTTTAAGTTTCCTGTCAAAATTTATAGCATCGACGTTTGTTTCATCCGAGGACAAACGAGCCCTTTACCGTTCTATCGACTCGGGCCTCACTAGTGGCACCTGTAAAGCTTAATACAGTGTAATGACTTCCACGCTTCGATTAGTAAATGGCGTTTTGCTGTGATGGCCCGGTTTGCATGTAGGCCTATGACGGCAAGTGGGTAGTCTGATCGGGTTGCATGGATTACCATGAGCCAATTTATTTTCTAAATCTCATGGGTTTCATACTTCATTTTCACGAGTGTTGTCCCCCCCCATAATTGCAGCATCCCGGCTCATCTCAGCTTCCTCTTAAGTTGCAGACACGTCAACTTGGCTATTAATATGAGACCAACGTTTGGTTTTTTTAAATGATAATAAACCAAACCTACAGTGAACGATTAAAAATGCTTGTGGGGACTTGGGTTGAAGTTACACCCTTACTTTTCGCCGAATCACTTGGCGTCGCCTTCAGACTTCAGTCCGACTTCGCTTTTTCTCTCAGACTGGCAGGACCAGAACCGAAGCCATTTTATTTTAAGACTTAGTGCGCCGCAGCGCACCGAGAGAGCAAAGTACAAGCTGCCATGAATGCCACCGCTACTGCAAATAATAAACAACAGCAAGACAAGGTACATCGCACTGCTTGACAAAATGCTTTTCCTGGTTCGTGACCCCAATAGTAATACGCAAAACAGTGGTTGAAGCGAACGACTACATTGCAATGCTCAACTGTCGAACAGGCTAAGAGTGGACCGCCCCATCGTCGATAAAAGACACATCCAAGTTCTGGTAAGCTACTGGCACCGAGCCCACCATACAAGGCCAGTATGTATCTCAATTCTCAATTTGTTCGTCTGCTCCAAGTTTACCTTCAGTCAATAAACACTTGGGCCATTAAATTGAGGCAGGTGTATTTTGTGTGTTGTATATTCCCGTGGTGTACACATGTTGATAGCCATTATGGGCTACGGTTCCTTCTAAGCAGGAAGGTCACAATTAAGATACGGTTCCATGACGCACTGTCATTGTACTTAACGACAGATTGCTTGTTAAATGTAAATGGTAAATGCACCAGCTGATCTGCAAACAGATTACAAGAATAACACATGGAATAATTCTGGTCTTATTTAATCATTTTTCATTCTTCATAAAGGCCCACATAAAACTTCCAAGATCTGCTCCTGTCACAAACCCGGGCCCGGGTCCCCCTACCCTCTGACTCAACGTGTACACGGCAAACTACACAGTACACTCAAACAGATTGTTCAACTCCAAATTACATTAGAAATTAATTTATTTACAAATATACGAGCTACAAAAATTGATGAAGGGGAGCAAAATAATCAGATCAAAAATTAAAAAAAGGGTTTCATGGAAACTAGAATGCTGATGGGCTGTGCAATAATTGCCACAAGCCCAGATTCGGACTGTCACTGTGCAATGTGCAGATGTTCTTACGTGACTCTCAGCAGATCCTTCAAGGATGATGCAGGTGAGTCAGGGCTTGACTAAAGAGCAGGGGACAGGTAAGTAGGCGTGTTCCCCCCCCCCCAACGGACTTGCTATCCCTATCCGGCAAATGTAGGACCTGGCTTGATCGTGTCAAGGTACTCGACGGGGTCCAAATACGGGAGCTACTCAGGTCCCCGTGCCGTTTGTGTCCTTCCTCTATGGTGTGTACCCATGCGGGTGTGAACTATACAGGACCATGCACACCTTACTTTGCATAAGAGAGCGTATAAGGAAATTGGGCCAACTTGGCAACATACAATTTCTGTCTCTAAATTAACCAAACAGTTGGCGTAAGTATCACTGACTTGTGACAGCTCGCTTAATTCACACTGCGCCCATTATTGAACGTGCTTGAAAGTGCGTTCAGAAAGTGTTACCATCCAATACAAATATCTTTGTCTATAAATTTATCAACACATCAACACGTCTTTAATTGAATTACACGTATAAACATAACTTTGTGTGTAGCCCCGTAAATTCGTTATAGCGCCCTCTTTTGGTGATGTGCGATCGACACTTCTGTTCCAGAAACGTACGTCTTTCCTCGAGACGAGAGAAGACGGTTGAACCACAGTGTAGGCAGTTTTTCTAGCTAAGTAAACCCTAAGAATACAACAATTGGTAAGAACAGGTAATTCTCCTATGTTAGAAATCCCCGAAGAATATTAGATTTAGTGTTAAAGGTTGGTTGGGGACTACAGGAACGGGTTGTAACATTTGTAAAATCATAGAGGGTTATTGTTGGTTCTGTTTATTATAAGTCTACTACGTGGAGTCACACGTATAATTTTATACTTGTATTAATGGTAATTCGGGTTCCACACGTGGCAAGTACACTAGGTACATAATAAGTAAATTCATTTTATTCAAATTATAGTTGGTCGTCCGTGTTTTTACAGTGCAGTCACCAGCGTTTTTGCGTCACCAGCAGGATTTTGTCTATGGATGGGTTGGGGCAAGTACTCGTCGGTAGCAAACTGACAAACCATTCACGTTGGAGGGAGTCAATTAACTGTGGGGGTTATCTTCCCTCTTCTTTCTTCATTTCTTTAGCCTTACATTCCCCTTTTTTGGGGGGGGATCTCAACATCACCTATAGTCACAAGCAACAACTTGTTATCAACAGCGTCATAGCCTGTGCGTTGTAGTACAATGGGCCATACAATATAAATGGTCGGTGTTCAGGCAAGGGCATTTTTGGTTTCAGCGTGTAAGTTGTCAGTGCTAATCGGGCACAATGGTGCTTGGCCAAGTAGTTTCCTTTAATTCCTTTCCGGTGCTGAGATTTCTTATTTCGATTTCACCCAGAACAATAGCGTCCAAAAGGCGGGTAAAAAGAAACCGAAAGTGATAATGATAAATTCCAGCAGTCCATTTTGATGATGCATAATCATACAACCTGGCCAGGCATTTAATGCTGCTTTGTACTTTTATTTTCTGCCATTCTAATAAGATAGACATATAAAGCTAGCTGACGTTTATAAGTCTGACAATACTTGGTGCAGTTTGAATAACAGCTCCTCATCAGTGACTTTTTTCAAAGGCCGGAATCCCTGTTTAATCTATAGAAGCTTAGCAACACTTCCACACTGTAAGCATTATTATCAGCCGATCCGACATGAACGAAGGATCTGCGGCAAAATGCCTCGCAAAAAATTGGCAACATTATTGTCGTATTCTACATTTTATGTGCTAATACCCTGTCGATGCTACGTTTTAATAGTGAGGGAATTTCCTGTTATTTAAAATACGCTGCGGATTCCGGCAAAAAAGGAATAATCTTTCCAAAACAGAAACAAAAAACTGTGTCACATACAGGATTAAATCCACTGACATCCTTTCCCGTCTCTCTCTTTTTTCCTTCATCTGCACCCACGACTCTTTACATGATTCCTATTATAAATCCGGTACAGAAATGTTATCATATTCATACAGGAGCCACCGATGTTTTATATATTTATTATCGTTTTAAATCGTTACAACTTGTTATCCATTCAAACTTTAAAATAATTTGTAATTGTACTTCAATTTTTTTCAATGAGTGAAACTTGTAAACTGACATTTTGTGGGCTTAAATAAGATTCACGCAATTTCGGTCCTGGTAACATTTCCCCTTATAGGCTACCTGTGATAAGCAGGGTGGCATTAAGTATACGCGTTACCTAGAGAATGAAAGACTAAAATGTACATTTTGTTGGCACTGATTTACTCTGTGCAGAGGAAACGACCTCTCCTATTGAGGCCACCGGTGCCTTTAAGGGTTTAAAAAAATTTTCGTCCAAATACAAAAGCCATTTATCATATCCTACCCCCGTTTATGCTGAAAAACCTGGTTTAGTCACTTTAAAGCCAGGGCATCCCCTAGCCAGAAAAAAGTTTAAAAATCAAGCCAAACTCCAGCCAATTACCACAGGACTGTGTGTTAAGTGGCCCCGTGTGTATAATACAATGGATTATTTACAAAGACGGTGCCTGGGCCAGGCAGTGGAATGTTTTTATCAGTGACAGCTGTCAGGAACTTGTCAGAGGCCTGGTTCAGCTGTCTGTGAAGTGTTAGTTTTGTTAGCGGGTGTTGTGGCTTTGGCCAGCACGTGGCAAACCCCCCCTCAAATCGGGACAACCTGGAAAACAATGTAATTTTTGCGCAATGTACTTTTGCGGGTTTAAACGAGCTGTAGAAGTTAGGGGACAACCACTGAAGTATTGAAATGCCTTTAGGACGGACTCTGGGCTCTGAAACCCGAGAAATGATACGGCCTCGGCAAAAGAGCAGCTCCAGCAACCATGTAAAATTCGAACATAAAAGCGTCGCAGGGTTTATCCCACTGTTGATCTAATTAGGTTAACCTTATTTTTCACCAACAGAGGAGTGGTACTTCTTTGACAGTGTGATGAGAAATGGAACGTTGAACCACACGTGACCAGCACTAAGAATACAGCCCAACAATGCAATCTGCGATGAGCGAGGTCAACTTGAGATATTTGGCGTCGAATCTGGGAAAGGAATGGAGGAAGTTGGCCTCCTACTTGCAAGTCCGAAAGGATGAGATTGATCGAATCCAGGCTGACCATCAAGCAACCGAGGAGCAGATATTTCAGATGCTGATCCTTTGGTGGCAGCGACAAGATCACTCTAGACGAGGAACGGACGATGGTGCCCTGAATGCACTATGTACTGCCTTAAGGGAGAGCGGCCGCCCGGACCTCATTTCCAACTTCAGAGGTGAGCTAGTCATTATCGGGTCCAGAGGGACAAATGGGACTTTCCACTGACAAAGAGGCACTTTTGCAAATATACTGAAGGAAAAACGAAATATCTTGAGAGACTATTTTCCATTTTGTCCCTCTCTAAAAAGTATGTAAAGAGGCCTCCAGTTAAACTTCATCCTTTACAAAAGGCCATGAAGATCACAAAAAGAAGCCATGAATATTTGACCCCTTTCCCTCATTCCCCCTCCCTTGGTTCTGAATCCGTCCTAAACATGGCTGCAACATTCTAGATAAATTTTTGTGTCTTATCCTTGGCCTTTACACTTTATATTGTTCTAGTTGAGGACAACAGCGCAGTGAACTGCTATTTTTTTAAATGACACTATATCGAGCTTCTCAACTCTGGTGAACAAATTAACTCTTTTTGCATCTGACAGCAGGTTCCACCAGTCATGATGAAGATTGGAACGTAGATCTCTGTCGCGCTGAGTTGATTCGATTCTACGGGGAAACAATGGGGAAGGTGCCTTTACTTCCCTGGGTGAGTTCAGATGTTAGCAGGATCGTCGATATATTCGGGGAAATTCAACTCATGGAAAGCAGAAATAAGACTTCCAGGGTAGTCCAACGTAAACTCAGCTCATATGCAGAAATGCTGATGCTGACTGAGTTTGGTGAGGATCAGCCAGTCACGCACATTTTACTCTACGGAGTTGCTGGTTGCGGCAAAACCACACTAGTGTCAATGATAGCCTATGACTGGGCACTGCAGAAGCCCGGCTCCCCGCTTGCAAAGTTCCGACTTCTGTTCACCATTAATCTGCGAGATCTCATCAAAGGCACGCCGACTTTGATGGACGCAGTGTACGACCAGCTTCTTCCAGAAGACACGATGGTTTGTCAACATTCTTTGAGGGGCTACCTGCATGCTCGCTCAAAGGAAGTCCTTGTAATTATGGATGGCTTCGATGAAACCGGGTTCGGGGGATCTCAAATATCCGGTGATCTTGTCAAGATCATCGGTGGCAAGATTCTTCAAGGCTGCACTGTGATTGTGACAACTCGTCCCTACATGGTTGAGCCGCTGAACAGATTGAATCCAAACTTCACGCGCATTGAATCCAAGGGTTTTTCGGACGATGCGGTTCAGCTTTACATCCAGAGATTTTTTCAAGATGAAGATGATTCGCAGGTTTCTGTAGGCCTTTGCAGGGTGATAAATGAGTACGACAACCTCCTTGACATAGTTAGACTACCTATCATGCTCTTGATTACATGTCTTATCTGGTCGGAGGACCGCTCTTTGCCTAGAAATATCACGGAGGCATTCAGAGAGGCTGCTTTCTTCATCTTGAGACGCCACTTCAAGAAATCTAGAAAGCTTGACAGTTTAGACGATGAGTTCATTGACAGTGAGCTCAAGGAGCTAATAAAAGACTTGGGTAAAGCTGCACTTGACGGTCTGATGCTTCCGGGCGAAAAGTTGGTCTTTGAGCCCACAGATTTTGGCAATACTAAGGCGGTAGATAAAGCTTGCCAAATTGGGATTTTGTCGCAAGAGAGAACGCGGAGTAAGCTCCGCGCGGTCCAAAATGTGACATTCATTCACAAAACATTCCAAGAAGCAATTGCCGGGTTTTACTTGGCCCAGCTAGCTGAGACGGACCACGCTTTTTTCAGCCGTCATTACCTCAAGCGAATATGTAAAGACAACGTCCACAGTCTCAAAGACGTATTGCGATTCAGCTCTGGAGCAAGCGTTAATGCTGCGAAAATCCTTTTGGCCCATGTTGTGAGCAATGACGTGGTGCAGAGGAATGAGGAGACATTCGCATTGTTCCTTTTGATGCTCTTAGAATCCAGGTGTTCGGAGTTACACAGCACTGCGGCACCACTACTTGCAAAGGATGGGCTTTACTTCACTTTCACTTGTTCAGTTTACCAAAAGTCGGCTTTTGAGTTTTTTGTTGAGTGCGCTTCCCAGTCTCCTATCGGGGATCAATGTGGCAAGCAGTCAGTCTTCATGGATCTGAAGCGACTAGTTCTCCTAGATGTCACAAGAGAGGACGCGGCGCTTGTCAACTCCATCTTTAAGTGTGCCTTAAGCGTTTCAGAGGTCGTATTGGGTTTGGCCGCAGTTGGCAAATTAGCTGAGTCGGAGTCAGTATTACGCCCAGAGGATTACCTTTGTGAAACACTTTGTCACATGCCACTTCTTGAAAACCTGTGTCTTTTTCCGTCAGAAGGTCAGGGTGTATGTCTCAGCCGACAGCTTGATTTGTCAGTCATTGTTGGGCGTCTGGCCACGGCAGACATCAGTTCACTCAGGGTGTTTGTCTTGCAGTCAGTTTCTGCCGGTCCTCGCCAGATTCAGGAGGTGTCCAGAAGACGGGCTAATCCAAGCAAATCGCTGACCCTTCTCGGTGGGGTTTCTCATAAAGCACGCCCCCTAAGCTGCAGAGACGCCACACATGGACAAGATACAGAAAGGAAACCTCCAAGATTGCTGCTCGAGCTAGAGGCGGGATTTCACAGAGTCGAATCAATTTCTGGACGTGACCATTCCGTCCCAGGTCTACGGTCTATTCAGCTTCTTCACAACGACAGACAAGCAGATCTCCAGCCTGTGAGTTCTCTTCTTTCAAGGGCTACAAATCTTGAAGTAGTTGATTTGTCGCGATTGGAAATCGGAACATTTTTCTCTGTCGTTTCTGAACCCCTCTCCAAACTTGGCAAGCTGAAAGAATTGTTACTCAGCGAAACTGGTTTATCCTCAGACGACGTGATGCTTCTCACCCAGAAGGTCCTCCCGTTCATGGCTAACTTGGAGATCTTGTCCCTTTCTCACAACAACGTTGCACGTCAAGAGGCTCTACTTGCTGTTGTGCGGTGGGCATGTAGTTCCACATGTCTGACAGAATTGTTTCTTGGCGGGTGTGTGGGGATGTTGTCTGCGTCGGACGAATTGAGCACAGCGTGCGTGCGGGACACAGTTGATGCTAAAGACGATCCCGAGCTACAGCCTTTCGAGAGGACGGAAGTTCTGCAACAGAGGTCTGTCGAAGTCGTCGATGTTCAGACGAACTATCTCCACAGGTACACCCCTGATTTGATCGGGCTCCTCAAGCACTTCATTGCCTTGAGGACAATCAACATGAGCAGCATGGGTCTGACTGATTCGGACATAGTGGAACTGGCTGGGGTTGTTACCGCTTGCACTCAGCTGGAGATGCTGCATCTTGAAGGAAACGAGGACGTTGGAAATACCGGCGTGGAGGCTCTCCTAAGGCTTTTGCCCCAACTGCCGAATATCCGACATCTGTGCCTTCCGTTTGACGACACCTCAGAGAGGTACAGCGACATAGTCAGCAGATGTTTGAAGAGGCGGTCAATGATCCTGGGTTGTTACACGCTTAGTCAGGAAGAAATTCAAACCGCTATTCAAATAGTGAAGGGGTAGTCGTCCAACTACATTTATGTATCAGACATCCTGATTAGTTACGGAGGGTTACAGAGAAAATAATAAGGACAGGGCCATACTATTGAGATTTCCCTGGAGTTCCTTTGGTATGGGACCTCCATATTTCGTATATATTAATGTAGAGGTGTCCATTTCAACGTAAAAGTGTCTCAAGCATTCCAGGCAGTGCCTTTACCTCGAGAACCCAACCTAACGTACGTCAGCTCTCTTTATACATGTATAATGCAAGGGAGTGAGAAACTGGTTGTCCGTAAGAGTGATTCCTTCATGAAAACCATTACAGAAGAGTGAACAACACTGTAAAAGGGGGAATACTGTTTTTAAAGGAAACAGACAGAAATTTACACCTGAGCAAGGAGCCGTATAAATTGCAACTCGAACAAAAGTGGTCCTATAATATAGTCTCTCTTTTGGAGTGATATTAACTCTCTCGGGGTGTCTTTATAAGGAAATCACAATTCTGGAGAGTGCTTTTCATACACCTTTGCAACACATTTAGAACACATTTCAATCAGCAAATCATTTTGGGATGGACTCACTCAATGATAATTTCATGATGTAGGGATTTTACTGCAGCTGGACGAGTTTAAGCTAAAGCTTACTGAAGTTTCGGGCTAAAAATTCCACCCTCATTTGGATAAATGGAACAGTAATTGAAAGATCATTTTTGACGGGGTGATTTTGTCACAGACTGTTTTCGCTTTGGGATATAAGGTAGCAGTATACAGCCAAAGCCAGATAAGAAGAGCACTGTTAAGACAAGGTCATATTTATATAACAAGGACAGTTTTAGGTCCCAAGTCTTTGTTTTTCTTTTTTCTATTACTGATAATAAAAGGTACTATTACAAGGGAATTTGTGAAGTCCCAAGGACCTTGTTATAACAGTGTTCACATACAGTAATTTTTTGTTTTTTGGAAGAACATATACAGCTAGATTACCTTTTATTATTCTAATAGTTTTAACAGTATTCTTTAAGCAATAAGGCCTAGGATTTTTCACAGGTTTGTCAACATATCATTGGGCGTCATTTCGGAAATCGCCCTGTTTTCGAATGCCCCATTATTGTGATTGTGCTCGGGAGAGGGCTGTTGATCCTGTTTGTCGCCCTCGACGTCGGCTTTGGCGCCATCCTCGAAGCACTGAGTGTAGGTGCCGGATCGAACCCACCTCTGGACGAAAAAACGATTGCCAAGCATGAACAGGGGCATCTCAAGCACGATCAGGAAATTCAAAAGGGCTGAAAAGAGTAGAAGACAAATGATCTTACAAAAGCATAGATAAACAATACAATTATCTGTGCTGTTCAGGAAAGATGTTAGAATGATTATCAATACGATTTAAGAGCACTGCCAACATTGCATGTAAGTGTATTGCATATTTTTAGGTATGAGAACTTTGTTCGTTCAACGAAGAAAAAGAACGTCTCGTTTAATGCTGACAGAAAACTATACGTTCTAAACGATACAATTTGACCGGGTGTTTAATTTTTATACCCAAAACTTCATGGAAAGCAGAAGAAGCCATTAAGAGGACAGGCTCGTTAAAATACTCACTTTTTAGAACCAAATCTCGCAAGCACGTCAAGGGTATGATGCACTCGATGACATCGAACCGCATAAGTATCGTGAGGAGAACCCGCTGGAAATTCACCAAGAAGAGGACGAGCTGCACCGAGATGAATTGGCCGGTGAGCTGAAAGCTTCGCAACAGACCTCGCGACGCCTTGAACAGGAGCAAGATGGAGTATATCGCGGTCAAAGTTGACAGTATGTTGATTGCGATAGCAGGTACCTCGATCGCGTCGTAGATACTATTGGACTGAAGCCACGGTTTTTCGGGAAAAGAGAAAGAAATAAAATTGATCTGTGCAGATTGTAGCCACAGGAATTATAATTGAGTTGCATCCATTTGAGATGGATGTCTGTTTGCTGTAATGTGTGTTTTGAAGATGAGTCACAATGAAAAGCCTTCGCTTCTCACAGACCGCTTAATCGACTCGCCTATTTATCGTTCAATTTGATCCATGGACTGCAGACCCTGGCAGGGCTGTGCGAAGAGATGAACAAGATTTTGACCAATTTTCCCACATCTGTCTATATCATGTTTTGTAAAACTGGAAAATAATTCTATTTATCAAGCTGCACTAATCAACTGGTTTGATTGTGCTCGCCCTGTCAAAACGAGTTGGGGTAGAATTACTTTTAGACAAGAAAATGGCCACCATACCCGACTGGACGGGATAAGCTGATCAACCCACAATATCGCTGGCAGGAGTGAAACAGCCGGTAACATGGCGATGTACTGCAGTATACCAACGCGAATTCGGTGGAAGATTTTCCTATAAAGGAAATGTGGAACAAAGTGGCCTGAGTTGGGAAGTGCTGAGGCTGTATTGCGCTGTTCTGATACCATTTTGTTAGACAGTTTGCTTAAGTAGAAACAAATGTACAATGTTCTCTCACTTGTCGACTGTGATAGAGGGAAAACAGACGCAGCAGCAACACGGTGGTTGTCTCATTGGAACGTCCACCTTGGACAGTGCCTTCACCATTGGCTCAACTCCCCCAAAGAGGTCCGTTATCAAAAGAAGAATAACGTAGAGAGCTACTGCAATGTATCTTTATCAAAAACAAAACAGGAAACACAAGCAATATTAAGCAAAACATGCCCTCTCGGTTGCCTGATGGGTATAACTAGAGTGAAATGTCTCAGAGCCTTAAGGATCCATGCATTTTCGCACAAATGAATGGCGACAGGTGTATGTGGGCTATGTTCATTTCAAGATGTTTAATTAATGGGGGATCGGTAGGGGAAATGAACATCCGCTTGGGGAGGGGTACATTCCCCACCCCATGGCCCTGCCATTGATCGGATGGCTACCGATATGTTGGGTTCATTACCAGCCTTGGTTTGATTGGTACTGCTTTCAGTCTTCTGGTTCTTGGTTCAGAAGATTTTAGTTGCTGACTTCATAATTTTACCGACTTAAGTTGGTTACATCTTCCACCCTTCAGCACCCATTGACCAGCGTGTACAGGAAGTGTGGGGTGGGGGTGGGCTAGCTTGCCTGATGAGACTCTTTATACCATCGACTTAAGACATTAACCAACCCTTCATGCACGCGCAATTTCCCCGCTTGTACCAAATTAATAGAGCCAAAAGTAATGACCACTTCAAGAGAAACTGCAGATTTGCTACTCCCGGACATGTATAGCTGGAATACATTTCTGGACCGATCAGTTAACCACTAGAAAACCATCTAGTGAATTATCTTTTCCTTCATTGACCCATTCCCCATTTATAAATATCAGTCACACATTTGGACCATTTAATTAGTAGTCCTGGAGAAAACAGAGGTAGTAAAACTGAAGAAAACTATTTTTTAAATCACTCAAAACGAAGAGGTTAATGGCGTACATTTTGTGACGCTTTGGAACTCACTAGTGCATTTTAAAGCTTGCGATTTTCAGTTATATGAAAGGTGTTTTAATGCTGTTGGGGGTGAAAATTGTTAATTTTATTTGGGGGGTATATCTTTCGCATGGAAAAGAATACTTGCTTTACAGACTTTTACCACAGGTTACGAAATATAGACCGATGGCGCCCGCTAAATCATGTGAGTAACTATGGGTATCACTCCCGTAGGAAAGTGTGTTTTAAATGTTCTTTACCTAAAGTAAAACCGACTCTTGGTTTAGTGCATCAGTAGCACACTGCAAAACACAAACATCCTTAAATTTCTAATCATTAAAAGTATAGATAAAAAGTAAGTCTTCGAATAGTTCTGAGGCATGCAACTGGGTGTATAGCATATAATGGAATGAACTTTGATACTTACATATCGGCCAAGAAAGCGCACCCAAATGAAGCTGTGGGTACGCAGAGGCCAATTAGCGAAGTCATGGAATGTGCCTGCATATAATGAGGATACATTGCACACACGAGTCAGACAACGGTGATTCAAAATACGTTATTTACATGTGTGTGAAATTTTCTCTATTCATTACTCACTTCATTTTTGGAATTCAAAGTATTCAGGTTATTTCATTTTCAGTCAAACCCCCCTTCTTACAAATATACAAACATCTTACAAGCACGTCAGCAACCTACTAACCCTACCAATGTAAAATCCAGCCACAAGTTGAGCAGCCACAAGCCACTCAACTAGCCACCCGGTCAGCTAGCTAGATAGCCGATTACTCAGCCGGCTTGCCGCTCAGCCAATCAGTCGATCGGCCAACCACAGTGAGCCAACCACTTGATCACCAAACAACGCGTTCGGTCGTCTAGCCAATAGCGCGCTCCACCCAGTCGGTCAGCCACACTGATCTCCATGCACTGGATAGGCAGCTCTGCTCTGCGAATTGAAGGACTGCGCGGCCATCTTGGGCTATTCAATACAATTGCATTTTCCAAGTCACCAGCTTTAGCGCGGTGCATGAATGCACTTAGTGAATGGACTGAAGTTGGAGGCCATTGTATTGAATATCCTAAGACGGCCGCACGGTCACTTCAATTCGCACACAGGCAGTTACTGCTGAGCTGCCTTTCCAGTGTATAGAGATCAGTGGTCAGCCATCCAGTGAGTCAGAGTAGACGTGAATCAAGTCAGACTTACGTTGCTCTTCCGAGGTCAGCCGTCTCTTCGTTATTCACAGTACACGGCCGTCGCGCTCGACCGCTCGAGGTGCAGTCTACTACTTCAAGTGAGAATTTCTGGCCAGCTCATAAGCATTAAAAGTGCCCCCGCAGTGTCTTTTGAAAAAGGGGATTGTTTGGCCTCCAACATTGTGAGATTGTGTAAATCGTTACCAGGATCAATTGCAGAATGTCTAATAAAACACCCCCCCCCCAAAAAAAGTTGAAGGATGGTCCTCAGTGGCCGAGAAAGTTGAGGCTTGCCACTTTAAAAATGGCTGCAATCAGTCTTTGGGGAAAAAAATTACTTTCAGGGGCGGACTTTATTTCGTGGGAATAATTATCAATATAATTGGTTAACCCTTAAACATTGAAAAGAAATTGAAAGATTTTTCGACATTTTGTGCGTACGCACTTCATGGACGGTTCCTTAGGCTTAATCAGCCACTGAGCCAACGGCCGTGAACCAACCACTCGGCAGACGGTCACCAACTCGGCCAGCCCGCTAGCTATATTGAGACATCCATTCAGCAAATCACCCAACGAGAGACGAACTTTCTGCAAAATGTTGCACTCAGCTCACCGGAAAAACTCCACAGATATAGAGCAGATATCGCCGCCTGGATCCGAATTTAAATCGTTGATAGAGGAAAATCAAAGCTTCGATGTACAAGAAAATACAGATGACGGTCATAAGAATGACCAGGATCAATATGACGTAAGACCACGACGCAGAACGAAACCCTGTAGAAGAGAAAAACTTGATGCAAAATCATGATTCCATCTTATAAACTTGAGGCAACATCAAAATGAATGATAGTTTGGTTTGCAGTGTTCGAATTTTTCAGTTCCACAAAACTATCATGTAAATTCTTGTCTGCATGTTCAAAACATTCCTAGGGTGCGGATCTAGCACACATTGCAGGCTTTCGGGATTTTTTTTTTGGGGGGGACTGTCTTTGTCACCATTCGCGAAGCCAGATAATCTCTTTTGGACGGAAAATAAGGCCCCTATAGTGTTCGTGCATTTTCTTGGGGGGGGGCTTCCAAGCTTTAGACTAAATAATTTATTAAATGTACCCCTCCCCCAACGAAAGGATATGGGGGGGGGTGACCTCTACCCCCCACCAGATTCGCGCCTGATCAGGCACTCAAACCATTTTCCAAATGCAACGTGGAGACCAGGACTGGATATTGGGGGGGGACTTAATGCACGTTTTGGAGAACGTGGCTTCGAATATTGCAGGTGAAAACAATGGCTGGTATGGGAAACAAGAACAGTGCAAACTGACCCACATCCCTCCCGTAGGCCTGCAAGTCGAAAAAAACTATTTGGTCGCCAACTACTGTTCACGATAGCCGGCTTTTGAGTTAACATTTTGATCAGGTACTGTTCTGCCAAAAATTCCCATCATAGCTCACTGTTTCCACATTCTTAAAACCTTTTGCAGCGGAAGTCGCTTTAATTTCTTGTGAAATGTGTTACGTCATGTCTCTTATACCGTGCAGTGGGGCAGATAGCATGGGTTTGAATTCTGGGGGTGCACACCCCAGTTTAAGAGGGACGGGTTATTGAATCCCCTCAAGGCTCATTTAAAAAAAATTGTCGGACTACCCAACAACCACAATAGCACTCACAGGGGAAGAACAATTTTGAAAACCACGTACGAATACGCTGTTTTGATGCAAGGTTCTGCATTTCAGGAGTTCAATGCACATTATAGACATTTTGAATTATGAACATCGTCTCCATATAAGCAAGGAACTCCTTTTTCTGTGGGTCCATGATATAAGTCTTATCGTGTCAGTGTCGCCTCTTTAGCAGGGTAAGCCATCCCCCTAATCCCCATCCCCATGTTCCTTGCACAGATTGACGCCACTGGCAACCAAGATTTGTTGTGAAAAGGAAGGAGGGTGTTCGAACTGGAAATTAGGCCAGCCCTGAATAGCTCTCACGACCCCCCTTGCACCACCGGGGATCGCAATACCACTTTAAATTCAGGTGTATATTGTATCCAGTTTTATTTGTCAGAAAGCAAAACAAACAAACGAAAATTTGTCGAGGGGTTCAGACCCCCCTTACCGCCTTGGGTGTGCTACCGATTACATATTGTGTGCAGACGTTAGGCTTTGCACTATGTCCGGAGTCTGTCGAACTTATTGATCCGTACGAATGACAAAAGGTTTTGCCAAATAGACACTGACTCAGGTACAAGTCTTATGACCATGTGCAAACTCTTACTCTATTTTTGGTACCGTATTCTGTTGTGGGGAACTAGGGAACCTGGGTACCGGGGGTGTTTTGAAAATTCCAATTAGTATTACTTATTTATTTTCTGAGTGAAAGCGTTAGCATTTTGAAACGGTATACAGCCATTTTTCCGGAGAGGGGTTTGAGGATTTGTCCACTTCCAGGTTGAAAGAAATGTGGCCTGGGCCGGGTAAACTTCCATTTTGCTGTGTACTTCGGGTTTGACACGATAGGCTTGATAGCATTATTTCTCTGATGCGGTTGATGCATGTAGAATTTCGATAAAATGCTGAACATTCCAAATTCTCAGCACAAACATGTATATTTAAATAATCGTCAAATGTTTGCCCGAATCCGAAATACAAAAAAAAAAGGCCCGATTCTAATTATGGACGGAGGGAAAGGAGGGGCGGAGACAGAGCGAAGGTCCTTCCCCATCAACATTGAGCCTTTTTCAAAGAACTGAAAGCGCTAAACCGAAACGGTATTAGCACCGTGCTTTAAAGGGTTTGGGAGGGTTCTTTAGGGTTGACAAAAATGGACGATAATGTTTCAGGAAACATCCCTGGCGGGTCCCCCGAACTCAAAAACCTGGATACGCTCTTGCTCTGGTGCTCCATTTGCTAATAAAGTAGATGAAAGTTCAAAACCGATATTGACATTGTGAAGTGTTTATATTATATTCAGAACTTTATAATGCTGACGAACGGTGAGAGTTAAGTTCTAGCCTAGGGCAGATGACTAAGTGCCAAACTTTGGAGTGAACGAATACTCACGGGCGAGCATTTCGGCCGAGTTCGGGACGGCACTCAAGTTGAATTCCATTTTGACTAGCCAACGGGTCTGAGAACTCGCTGTTACACGGGCTGGTACGGTATGTCTGCTCTCACGCCAACACCGACGATGGAAATGACACTTTTGTATTCACTCACTGTACATGCATGTGTCTACAGCTTATCATGTCTTTTGAGAAATATTGAGTGGAAAGCCAAACAATAACAAGAACATGTTACTGGTGCTGTTTTGTGCCCGATCGCTTTATCACCACCAATTTTCTTGTTACGGGAATTTCCTTTTACTTTTCCATTGATATGTGATGAGTTTCCTTTTTCACAAAAACATTTTTGCAGTCAAAGCCGTTTTATAGAACCACTGAAAAACTTTCAAGCATTAGAATTTTTATTGTTCTTTTGGCATTTTTCTTCCTGGGTCTGCTGGCGTGGATATATAAAAGCTGCATTCCACGAGGGCGTTGTTGACAATACTTGCTCTGTGACAACATAAACCATCCTCTAAATAAAGAAATTGGGAAAGTACCGAGTCTGTATTACAGCAAACGATGTTTTTTGTTGAATGGCCTCATTCTGAGGCCAAAGTTGTGTAAACACGCATCACGGGCTGACGGGCAACCGGGACTAAATAAGAATGATTCTACAATGGCCCCCTAGGCAAATTGAATACCAATTAAGGGCAAATTGCTTTGTTAGTATACAGTGCATGCCTTTGTGATGACATTACACTGGAAGTGGAAAAAATAACAGTAAATGGAGGAAACCTACTGCTCAGAGGCAGAGTTGAATGCCCGTACTGAGAGCGGACCTGAACTTGCTGCAACTAGCAACTAGAACATCGGTTCAGCAAACACATTATTTTAATGGGCACTGTGAAGAGAGTGATCAACGTAACACCTGGCCTTGCCAAGGCTAACTGTAGATGCCACGAGTTCGTGCACATTATAATGAAAATTCACATAGACACAGTGGCGGATACAAGAATTTTCCGGAGGTGGGGTAAGGCCAGTCGGACTTTTTTTTGTAAGACAGATTGTTGCGGATAAGTGGATACATAGGTAATGAATTACATTGGTACTTGTGTAAATCTTTATAGCATTACAACAATCGTTATAATTTATTCATTCATCATATTTTGGGTGTCACAGCAGGGGTGTGACCAATAGTAAAGTCTGCCAATGTGGTCTTTTCCCTAAAAGAATTTTCAAGCTATAGTTTTTTCTATCAAAATAGTCGTTATTTTGGTCAGTTTTAGTATATGCCAATTATAATCTTGAACGAAATTCCTTTTACAGTGAGACCATTTTATTTTGTTTTGTTTAGGCGAAGGAGATTAAGTTGTCTCGCAAAAGTGGCAATTGGGAAGCAAAAACTAGGAAAATTGACAAAGAATAACACAAACTTCGGAATGCCGAGCTGGATATACCCTTTTAGAAAAAAACCTGTACAGACCGGTTCAATTGCTTTATGTCTTCGAATGTCAATGGGATGGAAGTCAATTAGTTATTCGGCCTTTGAGAATCACCAAATGCTCTAGATCATTTGTAAATTTCACCTGTGGGTAAGACATTTTAATCCCACGTAGTGATAAGGCCATTACATCTAGTCCCAAAACCCTGCCTCTTCATTCCTGAGATCTTTCATTTTGTGTTAATTTATTTAAGAGTGTGGACTCACTGGAGACAAGATGGTGTCTGTTACCACTTGAAGCCAACATGTATTAGCTACCACGCAGTTCTAAAAATGTAAATACTTGCTTTGTTTTTTACTCTTCTTAATGTGCTTACTCTACTTACAACGATACATTTGTCTTTCCACCTCAAGCAATTCCAATTTCTTAACAATCCTACATCCTGGTGTTTTGATGGGTTTTAATTGGTTCAGGATTGCACAATTCATCTCTGATATTTTCTTATGGGCATTGGGTTTGTTGAATTTCTTTGCAAAAAAATATAAAGATAGTAGTTGAAGTTAAAGCATCAGTTCTTGTGTTCTTTTCAGGCGTTTTATAAAGTGGTTTCCTGTTGTTTTCAAAGAAAACTAATTTTGCAGTTGGCTCTAAGCATTGACATACAGTTTAAATTACAATTACCCGTTTCATGTATGGAATTAAACTTAGTACACACCACTATGTTGCCGTTCCTCTTTGGGTATAAAGTGCTGTTAAATGAAATTTGTGCTCTTACCATAAAAATTAAAATAAGATAATAAGAGTTTTCTGCTCCAAGAAAAAGAGGGTTCTCCAAAAAAAAAGTGATTTTTGCTTAATTATTAAGAATAAACGAGTGGCGACATTTCTTACAATTTTCCCCTTGAAATCATATGATAAACCTGTGATCTGCACTTAACCCTTATCAACTTTACGATTAATAAATAAGAGGTATCTAGAACTTTTAGAGTACATCTAACAAAGGTATATGGAATGCAGTGAAAATAAATGAAAATCCATCATCAAATAAAAAATGCCGGTTGCAATTTTTCTATTGTAATTGTTGCAAAATTGGATATTATGTTTATTCATTATTTGGTTTTGTTTGATTGAACCCATCCTTGGAACAAAAATGAAAATTAATTTAAACTCAAATAATATAATTTGTAAAAACAAACACTAACTCACCGATAAAATATAATAATTAAATGACAACTAAAATTAAAGGAAAAATTTTTTCCATTTTTTTTATTTCTAAGTTTAAAGTTTTTTACATTTCATCGATTTTGAATTTTTTGGGGCTTTTGGGGTTTTTAATTTTTAAAAATTTTTTTCGGTACAAAAAGGTCCACAGACAAAGAGTTTCCCAAGGCACATACATGATATGACGATGTTTACCACTGAATCGACACGTTAAACTGTTTGTCTAAAAGGGTACCAGTGATGAGATGCCGTGGACAGCAAAATATAAAAGAAGACAGAAGTCATTCAAGGAGAGCCGTTTTTTAATTTGCATTGTTAGGCTGAGGAAATCCCAATTTGTGTTGGATCAAGCTACTTATGAGATAAGCCAATACTGGAGAGTTCATTTTGAAGTTAATATTCATTTGCAAGATTGCACTTTTCAAGTTGCACTTTTCGTGTTTAAGTGTATTTTTATTGTTGGATGTGCGAAGCAATCGTGTTTCTGTTTCCATAAATTCAGAGGAATGTGAGGTTTCATCCTGCAAATGACAGTCTTGAAAAGAAAACCCAGAAATACATTCATAAATTATGTAAATGAAAACTAAACATTTAAAATAAATGACTGTAAATACACGAGTCCTTACGTAATCAAGATTACAGTCTAACAGGCCTTTCATTAACCTAAACTCTTCGAACCTTAAAACAGAGCGAAAACGCAAAATGATTGAGACCTTTGGGTGAACTACCTAGGTGCTAATAAGTCGGTGAAAAAATTACAGGATTCCGGAACTTTCCGAAAGGATTTAGTGTTAAGATCTTGTCAAAATGGCGCACAAGCGTAAAGAAAATGAAGGGAGAAAAGGGAAGGCAAGACAAAGAAAGATGGGTTATTAAAGAAATAGATGGAGGGAAACAAGCAGACGGATGATGAGAGAGGAAGGAGGAATATTGAGAAAAACTAAAGAGATTTGTTTGAGAGTCCTTATATGCCATACGATACAGAATCTAGGATACTTTGAGCTGACAATTGGGAAGAAGTGTTTAAAAAGGATTCGTGAATGAAAAAGTATAAGGTGAAGGGTACAAGCCCTGTAAGGAAAGAAAATAGGAGAACTGAAGAGACGAATGGAAGGAGTAGCCTGCTAAAGATTTTGAAATAGGAAGAAAGGAACTGGGACCAAAATCGCACCAACGTCCAAACTGTCAATTGATAGCATAGGCCCAAGTACAAAATGGATGACACGTCTTGCTGGCTGTTAGGAAGAAGTTTAGATAAAAAGGAGGAGTGATGTGAGGGTGAAAGGTTTAAGGTAAGAAAGACAGGAAACTTGAAGTGAAAGACGAAGAGAAGGATTTGAATTCATGCAAAAGAGTTAAACACAGGAAGGAATTTTGACCAAAATGGTACCGTTAAGTATATAGGGCACTGACCTAACTGACCGTTAATTAATCGACTGCAACTGCTGACTGGCTTGTTGATTAGTAACCAATTACGCAAGTCTCTACCGATAAATTCTAAGCTATTCGATTTGATAATCTAGGTTGTTACGAGGAAACTGGTAACGCATGAGCAGACCACCTGACAACCATATGAATTTATAAAACTTAACTAAACCAGCACTAAAAACAGGGGCAAACAACCAACAACTACCAACCACACACCCAACCACAATATCCAGCATTCACTTAACTAAACCAAAATCAGTCACACTCAACAACAATCAAGCACATGCAACCACAACCACACCTGTTTACATACAAAGTGTGGACATTTCTTTGTTCTCCGGTGGTTAAGGAAACTCGAGGAAAATGCACTTTTTTCCAACTAGGATAACTCCTTTAAGTTCGAGCTGGATTGTTGATGATTATTTCCTAGACTGTTCCTCTTCATTTTTGCCACAGAAAACCTTGACCCCAAAATGCCACTGAACTGTTTTTCAGAGAGGGGAAAACATTGTGTGGACGTGTGCGAGTCCTCACAACGCCATCGCAGCCTATATTATGTGGACTTCTTTTGTACAGAGGTCCACACTGTGTATACCACGCCTGCACAACAAATCACATCCGCACACTGTAAACCGCAAATACAATAAATGCACCCAACCACCTTCAACCAAACTACAAAGTGAACCACAACCATCAACAATCAACTGCACCCATCCACAGTGACTAATTACCGCCAACCACACTCAAGCATAATCAACCAAACTCAATCACAATCAACCACTTACCACAATCAACCATATCCAACCACACTCAAACATAGGCAACCAAACCCAACCACAATCAACCTCTCTAACGAGTCAACCATACCCAACGACACTCAACAACATCAACCACATCCTTCTACAAGCAACCACACCCAAGCGTAATCAACCACAAACAACCATAAGCAGCCACACTCAACCACAATCAACTGTAATAAGCAGCATCTTATGCCCCCTATCGCACCCATCCACAACCAATTACAGCCAACCACACCGAAGCACATTCAACTTCCAACCATACAATCAACCAAAACCACCACAGTCGAACACAATCGACTGGAATTAATCACAACCATACTAATCCACCTCAACTATCCATACATCACAACCGCGAACATCCTCGGCCAGCATACATTAAACCAACCTTGAACGAAACAAAACAGAAACTGGCAACAAAATAACGCAGACATAAGGTCTACCGAGACATTGCACTGAATGGTTCAAGACAGAATCTAATACGAATGTAAAACTGGAGACCAACATTAACGCATTTTTGGCTCCGGTATCATTTTACCCATGTTGATAGAATCAATATCTGGCTTTGGATTACGTTTTGGCAAAAGAAAATAGCAGGCGTTTCCTCATATTCCACTGACAACGGATGAGGTCTGAGGTTTCAAATTCGCCCTTTAAACAGTGCAAAGGTTCGTTATGAGATGGAGACAACGATGATTATTTGAAAGGAAAATTGGTGAAGAGGTTCAGTGTAGTTCATATTTGAAGTGGTATTCAGCTCTCCTCAAATGACTTCCTATTGATGAAAAAGATCTATAATTGTCCTGTTTTATTCCTAAAACCCCTCCGTGCTGAATTCTGATTTATTAGTATAGTGATTAATTTATTTCCATTCACTGCATTTCTGTTTATAATTTACCTTATCACGTTGCCTGTGACAGTGGCTATTTACATCTGTTGTGGAATTCACCCTTCGTGTATCTTTTTTTCATAATCTTGACCCCCTCTCTTGTAGTGACCGTTTGTACATGGTAAAAAAATGGTAAAATCATCTCCGATACTGGCATGTACATAGTAAACAAGTTAAATCCATTGGACAGGTATCGACATGTACATATTACATAATTATTCCCAACTTTTTGTTGGTTGTTTAGTTGCAGATGTGCTCGGCCGCCATTTCCTCCTCTTCGCTCTGATCTTGATCTTGTTCCACGCCTCTCATTGGTGATACTACGATGATTTCCCTAGCCTCACGCAGCTCCTCGTCTTTCTTTGCCATTTTCTTCAGGGCAGCACGCAGGCGCACTTCGGTGTGGTGGTGTTTCTTCTGCATGTTGCGCAGGCCACGGTTGACGGTGGCACGACCCTGCATAACCTATGGATATGTAGCAAAACACTGTTGTCTTCAGTACTGAGCTTTTCAGGAGCAGATAGTATGGCTTCTGGTAGCCAATACTCAGATCCTTAGATGTGAGGTGATTGCATGAGAGGTTTGAAGCATGTGTGTGAGGCAGCTGTACTCACCTGAGACAGGATCTCCTTCTGTTGGAGGCGCTCTGCTGTTGCTTGGATCTTTTCCTCCTCCAGAGCGGCTGAGTTGTCACGGGCCCTTCGGATGTCCAAGACCAAGTGCTGTGTCTGCTGAATGCGAACCTTGTCGAGAACATTCTGTGAACAGCAGACAATTACATTTCATTATTCTTGATATCATGAGGCGTTTCTTCAACTCGGTATATTTACAATTAGTCGATCGCTTAATTACTTTTTATGAATTTTTATCAGGCCAACTATTCTTGGTCATCTCACCTTGCGGCGTTCTTCAGCCATCTGCATGCGACTCTCCATCTCCTCTCTCAGCTTGGCATCACCTCGTGCTTCTCTCATCTTCTTCGCTTTCTTCAGTTTCTCCAGGCGGGCTGGCGGTTTCTTCAGCAAGCCAAACTTCTCCTTGACGAAGTACTCGTATGCTACACCTCCTGTGCGTGTCTCTTGGCGAGCCACGATACCAGCATTGCGAAGCTCACGAAGGATTTCCTGGCTTTCCTGGCGGGCATGAAGCTTCTTCTTGTTGCTGATCTTCTTTGCAAAAAGAGGAGTTCCCAATATGTAGAGATCTGAAGCAAAAACCAATAAGCAAATAAAACAATTGGAAATTTTTAACTAACAACAAGGCAGGATGGTAAATAAATTCTTCATACTTCCTTTTCGGGCGAATGGGCGTGAATCCCGGGGGAGGGTGGTATATACACCCACTTTTGGACCGAGGAGGAATTGAATCATCCCCCTCACGTTTGCATGGTGAGAAAAAATGAAGGCGGTTTGTGGAGATTTTGTCGAACTTCCCAACAACCAAAATGTATTCCATAGCACTCAAAAGGGAGAACAATATGTAAAGCCATAATTATGCCTTTCCTATGTAAGATTCTACAGTACTGTTATACACAGTACAGATGTAGACCAACCTACCATGAACATCGCCCCCTAATGTCACGTGGTGTCAGCACCACCCCAACCCCACTGCCCTACTCCCGCTTTTAAAATTTCCATGGCCGGCCATGTCAGCCTCCCCTCCCCCCACACAATTCCTCATCTCCCACATCACCCCAATTTCCAGGACAGATTTATGCCACTGTTGAGGTGGTTTGAACAGAGTTGATGACTCTAGTAATGTGACTTGGACTCGAGTCGGACTCTAGTCGCTATTTTTGTGACTTGAGTTGTAAATACCAGCTTTGACTTGTGACTTGAATTAGAATTGCAAAAAGCGACTTGTGACTTACACTTGCCAAAAAAAAGACTTGTTTCCAACCCAAGTCAGACACTACTCGACCGGCCCCATATATTTTTACAACTTCTAACTCGTAACTTAGTAAGTTGACGCCTGGTTCCTTTTGCTGATAACAGCTGGACAAAATAGTGTGCAGCTTGACTTGTACTTGGACAAAGAGACTTCTGACTTGACGTGTTTTCAGACTTGCATATAATGACTTGTGACTTGACTTGGATTTGCAAACAATGACTTGCTACCACCTCTGGGTTTGAATGATGTCACCGATGACTTACCCGGTGTAGGTGGGCGTCCGGCAATCTCCACCTCCAGCAACTCGTCTCCGTCAGCTGTGTCCTCAGTAATCATGTAAGGAGACAAGCTGACCTCGCTGAACGTCAGTGAAGGGCTGTCATCATGACTTTTACGCAATCGAGGGTGGATGGGAGAAGGCGGCTTGTTGATACCCACGATGGTGCGATCTGACACATCGGTGGTGAGCTGGTCCTCGGGCAGGGCAGGGGCTACCTGTTATTTGTTACCAGTAAGGCTAAAATAGCATCTACAGTCATAGTAACAGTCTGAAAATGTATTCATGTCGTTTGTTAATTGATATCTCTACTTCTATATTGTTCCGCGTGAAAAACAAATACACTTGAAACAAGACTTCTCAGAATTATTCGAAGTTTATTAATTACATATTCGATGAATGCATTTTGTATGATACCACGAGCAGACTAAGGTACATTCCGCGGTATATTTAGTACATTTGAAACTTCAATCTCAGCCGTAGCCCTAAGAGATATTACAAAATATTTACAGGCTATGGTCTGGCAAGAGACGCTTTGTACGCTATGAACTCACCCGAATCATGTTGTGGCGGTTCTTGAGGAATTTCCAGAAGGAGAGAGATTTGTTCTTGACCATCCCCGTGGAAAATTCATTGGCTGGTGATGAAGCCGGCACAACCTTGGACTGATTGCAACCACCCATGGCAAAATGTTTGGTCAATTGAGGATTTTCAAAAGATACTCAAAAGGTAGCTCAAAATTTTTCTGAGATACAAAACGCTGCTACTTGTTCATTTGCTGTTGTTCCACTGCCTGATTTGTTGACGTGCACTTTCGCATTTTATACTTCAGTGTGTTTGGTTGTAAGTTTCTCCATAGAAACATATGTTTGAATAAATTTCAGAGTGTAAATGATAGTTTCGACATAAACGAAACTATGGCGTAATCACGAAGACAAAACTGAACGCGCGAGTAACGGCTTAGCAACTTGCATATTAAAATGGTTCCGCGTTGACCAAAATGCGTCACAAACAAAACGCACGCGTCAAAACCGGGATTGTCAGTACAATGTAAAGGATATGAATATGCATGAAGTGCAATGTCCAATAAAATCACATTTAGTACGCGCGTTCCTGTTTGTTACTCTCTTTTCCATTCTCTATTGTTGTTCATTGTTTGTTACTCTCATTAGAAACCCATCCATTAATTGTTTTCTGCTTTGGATTTATGTTCCTATTCTTAGGTAATAGAATGTTCGGCAAATTATTGTTCAAACGTTTCATTTATGTTCTTTGGGGAAGGTTGTTACTAAATACAAGTAAAAGGAGACGAAAGTATTTGTTTATTCCAATCAAAAACACCCTCCTCTCCAGAAAACAAAGACACCATTAGATGTCTATTTTGGCATTTCAACTTAGCACACGAGTACTTTTTCAGACCCATCTGAAATCTGCGAATTTCATTTCCACCTTATTACATTTTGGTATACCCCGCCCCCCGGCGAACGGTTTGTTTGTTCAGCGTTTTGTTCCTTGTTTCAATGTGAAAAAGGAAGGAAAACAAAACACCTATCATTATTTTTACCTCTGCTGACTGTGCTGAATTTGGAACACAAAACAGTTTCAGGAGTGAATGTATACACAGAGGTCAAAAGGGAACAGCGCACGGATATGAAGTGTGTGCTGACTCTTCAAAAAGCCGAGTCCAGTATCAGGTTTTCTGCTTCGCACTAGGATCATTATTGCAGGGCTGGGCGATTTTCACCGAAGAACCACAACGCGAGGACAGGAGAAGACAACGTGACATTGATGAGCTGTACGCTAAGTGTCAATGTATGTCGCGCAGTAGGCAAGTCGTTGTACCTCATACGATGGCAACGCTGCTGGGGTGGACGGGAAATTATGTGCGCATTTCAACTTGTAGCGCAACTTAGCCTATAACTGCAAGTTTCAGAACAAATTTGATGTGCTGTCACCTCAGATGAATTTGAATGGAATCTGTACATAAATAACATAGGACTAAACGATGGGGGGGGGAATTCAACTACCTGTTAATTATACTCTAATCGGTAAGACGTCACTGAAATGCTAAGGTTACGGGGCGGGTCCAGGAATTTTTTCGGGGGGTTGTCAAGCCGGATATGTTTTTCAATGTCTCATATTTGCAGACAAGTAGAACCAATGATGAAACATAACATGACATGATTGTTTACAATGGTATTGGTGTAATTACGTTTGTACACATTAGTTAATTTTTTATCATTTTTCTCAGTTTTTAAACCTTTCTTGTCTCAGAAGGGAGGGGTGGACGCCACCCCTGGGGCCGACGCCACCCCTGGGGCCGCGCATGATGCAAAACAACAAATGCAGGTGTTTACAATTTATTCCATTTCTGTGTGAAGGCTAGTTCATACTTCGCACGAATTTGTTACGTCTGATCAAATATTCGCCTTGTGAATTCGCACCAGCTGAACACATTTCCACTCCAGCGAAATTTCACTGCAAATTTTTTGCGACGTCAAATTTGCTTCGCTTTCGCAATTCGCCTGCAGGTATGCATCGGCCTTAAAACTCACGTACGCAAGCAACAATATGTCCACAGTTGGAGTCTAGACCAAGGTACAAATTGTTACAAAGAACCTCAGTGAACTTTATTCTCAATCTCTCGTTCAAGGCTTACACCATTTGTTTAAATCTTTCTATATAAGCAAACGTATGACAGGCCTATTGTAAAGTTAGGAGTGGTTGACGTTTGGGCTCAAGCAGTATTATTCTCGAAGAATTCTACCCTTCGGACAGATTCTGCTTCGTGATATCGCCATACAGTTATTTTATATATTACACAATGGTCACTCCGTTCAGTCAACGGTTGTCATGCTGTAAGTATTTAATATCTTTGTACAATTCATTATGCACATGTGAAAATAGTTACACGATTACAATGTATCCCTCATACATACAACGCTACGGACATTTTGAATAGAACGATTGCACCCGCTTAAAGTCATGTGACCTACAGTGGGTTTTAAATGTCAACAAACACCGCGCCCACCAAAAGCAAAGTGCTTCATAAGTATCATTTTTTCAAATCATAAAGCTGACTGTATGTACCATACTCGGACTACTGATGGGCTGGGGTCCCTACTGTGAATTGGCTTTGTTTGTGAATACTCAAAACACACGTTGATATGGGGTTGATACCCACTACAGGTAACGTGATTTAGCGGGCGCAATCGGCCTGTTAATTAAGTAGTGAATTACACATTGTCGTTTTACAAACGGTGTTTTATTTTGGCCAACATTAAACGGATCCTGTCGAGTTGATCCATCCAAACCATTTTTCCATACAAGAAGACTGCACTGTCGTTATTTTCACGATAAATGTAAGATTTTGATTGACAATTGCCTGGGAATGAGTGGAAGGCAATTCGAAACCAACGTCTTACGAGTATGATGCATTGTGTGGCTTAAGAGGAATTGCTTATTTCTGTGTCGACTTTTGTCTCGGCCATACATCTTGCAATGTCAACTTAAAACATGCACTCACGGTCCAAGAAAATGCAAACTTATCAACACCTCCACTAAAAATTTGTCAAAGATGCTAATCTGTGTTCCAGTTTGTCTCTGTCTGTAATTGAGGACTTCCTCAAATGCCATATACTGCCCCACATCAGTAATGAATCTTAATTTCGTGAGATAAAGGCAGACAATTACCAATAAAACCTAGAGCAAACTGTCTCGCTTCCTTCTTTGAGCAAACAGAGGTTTAAGTTTTCAATTCTAGCAAATTGCACTTCATGGCCCAATCAAGAAAGACAGATATGGTGTTCTTAAAGTACTTATTCCGATGCTCCTGGATGTAGCAACTTCATAAATAAATTTTCAAGTTCATTGGCTTTTAAGCAACGGATGAATTTTGAGCTTAAGCAAAGACGAATTGCACCCTCTGAAAAGGTCCGCAGTGGGAAACTTACATTACTTCAATTAACAAACAGTAGGAGAGTGTCAATTTGAAAACCAAACCAATTGTAGAACATGCTGTTTTCCTCATTAAAAGTTTAGTTGCTTTCCAAAATTGTGGCAAAAATCTATTCAACTTCAGCCAAGCACGGGCACTTCGTGAGGTTTTATTTAATGCTGCTTCCTGCAAATCAACTCTCCACTACAAAGTTTCAAACTTAAAGAGAAATGTAGAGGCCTGCCTCTAGATTAATATTTAAAAAATTAACATAACACACACAAATATGTACACACAACCACCCCCCCCGCAGAAAAAAAAGAAGTCAAATGAAATTTAGGACAAAGCTTATTGCCTCTGTGTTAAGTTTATAAAAAATTACTTTCAGCTTTGTATTCATAGGAAAAACCAGGAAAAAAATAAACAAACACCCCCCATAACAAAAACAGTAGCTGAAGGCATCAGAAACTTTACCAGCGTAACACATTCGTTGAGGCAACTGTCTTTGCAAATTCCACACTGAAAAGGCTGAACGTGGAGAAACATAATCTGGCAACAGTTTCCCAACACACACTGTGAAGCTAAAAAAAAGTATTAAAAAATGTCCAGTGACACTGACACACAAAATATGTAGTTAATACTGTGGAGATGCAAGATTGAAAAAGTTTTAGGTGAGAGCTTCATGGAGGATGTGTAAGATCGAACAATGTTTGTCTGACATGGGTGGGTTTTGGGTTCAACTACCAAACTTTTCCAACTCTGAACATGTACATACATACATACATACATACATACATACATCTCTTGCATGGCTGGTTCTGAATGGTGCAGCACGCACTCACAATATCTGACAAGTCCAAGGAGGTAATGAAGGAGCGTTCTTATACAGGGTGACCCCCCCTAAAAAAAGGCACTCAAAATAGCATTTATATTCCTCTAAAAATAAATGTCAGTATTGTTGTTTTTGGTATCAAATTGGAGCTTCAATGTTTTTTTCAAGTCTGAAGACTTCATTTAAATTTGATATATTGTGTAGATAACCATGATTAGTGCATCTTTGTTCTGTCCAATGAGATTTACCACAACAATCAAAACGCTATGTTTTAAGCTCTTGAATAATATGCGTTAACACATGGACCATTGGAAAGGCCTGCAAAGAGCAGATATTGAACTTCTTGGTGCAGAACAGGGTTCTATTATGTTAAAACCACCAACAAGCAAACAGGATCCTGAATTAGTTCAAAGTCGTTTATGTTTACAGATGCATGTAGATCAGCACCTTGTTAGAAATTGGGACGTAACTAGCACAGGCTCATATAACAAAACAAAACAAAAAAAAATACATCTTGAAAATAGCACAGGCTCAACCGAAGTTGCTTTCTCTGAAACAACTTCATTTAACTCTGTAACTACAAAATCAATTAAAACCAGTGCCTTCTGAAAAAGGCATAATTTTCAAATTTACAGAGTAACGCACCCAAACAGTTGTGTGATAATTTGGGATTTGAATTCAGTGACTGCATCCACAGGCAAGATCAACTGTATAAGCATCCATTGGACAGAATAAAAGGTGAGTTGTGCTACATAATACAGGCGATTCACAGTGTATCGCGCCACCAAGAGGTTGTCATGGAGAGGCCTTTTCAAAGGGCATTATGGGATATTCATTGTTGACAAAGTCTCATTTGTTAACTGCCCTGTGCATGGGAAACTTTAATTTTTCCTAATTGTTTGTCTTGGTTGAAATTCGAAATTGCCTATTGTGAATGAGTGTCAGGTAGTCAAAATGAAAGTTTTGAGAGGTGAAGGGAATGACTCGATCTAATGTCCCTAAGTTACATACCAACCTCCGTTTCATCGCTGAAGCGTGTAGACCGTAGCTTGAAAGTGGCCTGTCTGTGACAAACTCTTGGTGGAGCCCTGTATTGTGAATCGCCAGTATTGAAAATATCTCTGCAACTCATAATCAGATTTAAATGAAGTTGTACGATTTGAAAATCAAGCTTTGATTTGATACCTAAACCAACAATTCCTGACAATTACTTTGGGAGAAAAATCAATGTTACTTGTGGGTTAGTTTTTTTGGGTGGAGGCTCGCCCTGTATTGCACATTTCACACACAGTCTCAATGCACTGACATCATTATTACCTCCGCTCATCAGGCCTGTAATCATTCTTGAAACAATCTCAGTTCCCTAGGGAGTACACAGCCCAAGGCAGCGGTTATGGACACTACTTGGTAGACTGTGAGCTGATGTTGGTCCACTGTTGTGGCAATGTCACTTAATAGAGGGATGCAATGAAGACGTTTCAATGAGAAGAGTTGTATAAATTCTGTGCAAACGGCTCTCTGGGGCCAATGTGAAAATATACAGTACATCAATGTGGAGTGAAAGCACTTTGTATTTTTGTCTGATTAAACATACTTTGGAACATTTTTCTCTGACAATGGCTATCCACAATTACTCACACAACTGTAAATGCACATAGAAATCATATCGTAATATATGATCCTTATATGTGGCAATGCTTTCATGACTTATGCAGACAGGGTCACATTTCCTTTTCTGGCACAAATTCAAAACTTCCCATTTGAGGATTGACCTCCCCAACTGTTTCTCTTATATCCTCTCTCTGACCCTGACTGACCTCCATCGGTGACCTTAGATTGGGCCCCGCTCTTTGCATTGATTTCCCCGGTATCCCGGCCCCATTCAGTGATCCTGGGGTTCTGGCTGCAGCTCACCACGCCGCCGGATCTCCGCTGCCTACGCGAGGATGGGCTGGGCAGCCGTTGCCGGTGTACCTCCCGCTGGACACCGACCAGGTGGGAACCGCCCGAGCCAGATCGGGGGCGGGGATAGAGCCACCTCTGGTCGCTCATCCCTGGGGAGGAGGAGCTGGGGGGAGGCGTGGGGTCTCCACTGGTGCTAGATTTACTCGGGCTTCTGTTGAAAGAGGATGTTAATAAACTGTTGACGGAACAGTACATGAGGAAGATGTTAATTTGCCCTTTGATAATGATGTATGGACCATTGTGTGCCTTCTGAGAGCTTGATAGAAAAAGGAACAGAAGATTTGAACTGGCCAATTGACTGCGACTGGATTGATGATTAGGAGGGATTCTGCACCCCTCTCAATTTTTTCTCCAATATCAAGGCAATGCACTTCTTCCGTGTAAAGCCTTAAGTTTCTCAAGGTGTCTGACAGTCGTTGAGACACAAATTTTATGGAAGTTGCAACTTTCATGCCGTTTTGAGTTCTTGCCCATTGTCAAAGACTGGATGCCCCAAACTATAAACCTTGCCAACGGACCTGCTCCATGCATCTGACCTGACGCAAGGGAGGGTGTGAACCATAAGAAACCCAAAGAATAAAATTCTCTGATTGTTTTGAAAACTCACTGATGTATTTATAATGAAAGTAGTTGGCCAATGGCCAAAATTCTCGGGAGGTTGGAAATCCATACCCCTTGTGAGACAGTCCACGAAAACCCAGCTATTTTTGGGTTAAGACATATGCAATTGGTAGCAAGAGGTTGTGGGTTTGCTAAGTTGCCTGGTTCTTGACCACTGCTTCTCCAAAATGAACTCACTAAGGATCTCTTTTGTAGGTCATATGCACACTTGAGCCTTTCTCCCTCCGACACACTTACCTGTCTAGGTGATGCCCTGCCCTCAGCATCCGGACTTCCGGTGAGGGGGTAGACAGGGTGGAGTTGGCCGTCCTGTACCCTGCACTGGAGGAATCGTCGTCCGAGTCCAACTGCGATCTCCCCCCCACTTGCTCAGAGGCGGGGTTTGCTGCAAATGCCAGCTTGGTGCCCAGTGGCAGCGTCGGGGGTGTGCCTGTGGAAGTGTGCCTCCGGACAGGCCACTGGGGAGGAGGGGTGTTTGGATCGACCGGAGGGGCAAAGCTGAAACCCTCGTGTCTGCGGTTAACGGATGTCGGTGACGGGGTGGGCGTGGCTTTGACTGCTGTGGGCGTGGCTTTTACTGCTGTGGGCGTGACCTTACCTGCCACGACACCAGACCAAATACCTGGCTTCTTATCTGTCAGATGAGACACAGTCAATTATTGTCAGATGTACGAAGCTCAGGGCCTGAAAAAGTAATGTTTTCATTTGACATGAACGGCACAAGGGCTAGGGCAAAAGATAGATATGCCAAAAGTGTCTCAAGTGTCAAAAATTTAAGTGTCAAAGTTGTCAAATTTACCAAATGTGTCAAAAGTGTACAAAATTCCAAACATGCATGTACAAATACATGTAGATGTTTTTGAGTCTTAGGTTAGAATCCCTTTTTTCTGTAAAATTAAAGTTCAAGTTTTCTTCTTTCAGAGTATAATCTTAGGGCCTACCTATGCTCTCGTACAGCCCCGGATCTACACTATTTGGTAGCCTCCTTGTCAGCCACGCCCCCTGCAATGTACCTAGACTCCCCGTATTCTCGCTGCCTGAGTCACAAGACGATGGGTAAGGGCTGTTGGCCCTAGCAGGCAGTGTCCCCGTCAGCTTAATCTTCCTCTCCGACGGCTGGCTCTTGTCGCCACAAGAGACTTTGTGGATGTGGCGGGTCGATTTGGGCTTCTTAATAGAATCCTGCAGCATAATAGTTATCATGGAACATTGTGTGGTTGGACGGATAGTTAAGAAACTCCCCTCTATTTAGTTGTAATAGTGAAGAAAGGATTTTGCTGAAAAAATTCAGGGTATTTTTGAGGGAGGTCTGTACCTACCCGATATGTGACCGTGCACTCCACGCTCACGTCAGCTCCCCGCTTACTGACCCTCCATTTTGTCATGACATATGGAGGGTGTCTCAGGCTCTCCTTGGCTGCTGGGTCATTGACCACAGCCAACGTCACCTCTTTGATGCAGCACAATGAATCGTCATCGCAGTCTGTCTCCACATACACCTTCCACTTGAATTCCTTTGAGAATGAGACAACAGATGCCGAAAAACTCATAAAATCCAAACCCTATCAAATTTTCCTAAATTCTTTCAGAGTAGAGAGGCTTCCAGTATGAATGGATGTACATGCATATAATAATAATAATAATCACTGATAATATAGAATTTTTATAAAGTGCCCCCCATAAAAAAAATTACCTAAGAGCACTGTGCAATGTAACGATTAAAAATTGAAATCAATTTAGTACTATAAAAAATATAAAAATTCAAATATACATGTATATGCCTTGCTGTCTCTACAAACTGTTATCACCCATGCTGATATTTCACACTGTGTACATGTTTGCTTTGAAATAACCAACATTCTTTCAGTCATTACTCTTACCAGTGGTAAGAAGAACTCAAAATTGGCACTCTCTTTACAAAAGCAACTTTTATGTCCTGGCAATTTGTGGCTAAATTTCTTTTATAACAAACACAGATGACACATGTGCAACGTTATTCACTCTTTCAATCCAGTCAGGCTTGGGTTTGCGTGAATATACTGGACTATAGATTTACGTAACTCTTCAATAACAACATAATGTTTTAAACAACAAATTCAGAGGGTCGAAAAGAGAACCAAAACCCTTGATACCTTTTTTTAATTTGCCAATGCTTTTATGACAAAGTTCTGGCTATAAGAGAGTCATTTGGCTGGTTCAAGCAAACTTGTAATACTGAGAGTTGAGTGTGCATAGAGGCAAGTCAAACTGTGATAATTAACACTTTACGACAAACTCTACACTGATGCACAACAAGAGATGCATCCATGCTACGTGTGTGATGAGGGACAAACTGGGAGTCAGGTCGGCGCAGTGGGTCTTTCTTTGCCTTTCACCTCTGTGGGCCAGGTTCGATACCCGGCTCTATCCACGTATGGATTGAGTCCCTGTCCCTAACCATTTTGTGGGTTTTATCCCAAATATTCTTCTGGGATTTTCATCCCACCTCAAATATATTTTATGCTTCTCATTGTCTCCTCTCTACAGGTTTCTTTTGGCTTACAAGTTAAGACAATGTCTAGGGCGCTCCTGAGGAATCCTCGTTTCATTCCAGGAACTAATAACAACTGAATAAGATTTAACAATACAGCACACTGTCTGGTGAGCTGACTGCATATGTTTGCTTGGAAGGCCTCTCGATTATATTTCATTGGAAGGGTTTCTATAATCTCAAGATATGAATGAATCGAAGACAGACACCAACCTCTGCTTCTGCACCCTGTCTGCAGTGGTTGCCAAATACTAGCGTCAGGTGGAAAGTCTTTGGCTGATTTTCTGACAATGTTTTACTGTTGTCTGATTTGGCTGGTTTAGCCGATATTGAAGGAATACTCTGTTGGATCATGGGCAGATGGAAAAGAAAAAAAAAATTAACATACGCTTGTGGCTTTCATTTTCCCCTAGTATTCACGGACGAAGGTGACAAAATGGAGTATTCTATGTAAAGTGATGTCGTTACACCAACCAAGTTTGCAATGTTTGCTTTCTCATTTTCTCAGTGAGTTTTAAATGTCCAGCGGTTGACTCCATTGAGCTACATGATCCATTGTAACTCAACTTATGACAGCAACTCTAAAATAATTTCGAGAATTCATGATGGGTTTCATGTAATTTTGATTTTCAAAGCAAGTCTTTCCAAAGCCATATTGTGATGTAACAAAACAAACAAAGAATGTCTCTTTGGCATCAACAACTGGGTGCAAAATTCAAATAAACAAGGTCTAAAAATCTACAATGCATTCGAATTCACCAACTATGGATATGTCAATTATTCTTCAAAATTTAGTTGCAACAATGATTTCAGTACTTGTCTAAGATCAGCTCCCGTTCCAGTCCTGTTTAAACACACTGTCTCTCACTTTATTTCTGAAGTTCAATTAACAATGTGATCAAACATCAGTTTAACCCCTTCACGCCGGGACGCGTAAAAACACGCCATAAAAATTGAGATCCTCAGCCCGCTTTTCAGCTATTACTCTCGGCCCACGCTCGAGCAAACACGGTGAAAGAAGGCAGACCCTGGCTCTTGTGTATATGGTATTGGTCTTTGTGTGTAGCCCAGAAATGAAAAGACCGAATTTGCATCATAATCACCAGCTTCACAATAGTCCCCACTTTGAAAAGAGACAACGGGAATATGGAAGCTTGAGTAGAGTCGCATGCCACCTAACAATCAGCCTTTTCACCGTGTAATTCAAAGCGTGCAGAGCACGCTGGGCCACAAACCGAGAATTTGCGGTTTAGCAGGTGGCCTTTGTGGCCAAGCGAGGCTGGAATTCTTGGAGTCGGCTTTCGGAAAGAAATTCCCGCCGAAAAGGGGTTAATGTGAATGAAGTATGTATTGAATAACCTGACAACGCTTGAATCCTCAACTTATTGGAGGTTTCATCATTTAAGGCCATGTTGCCAAATGCACTTGCAACACATTGCACCTATAATGAGTAGTCAAACTTTAGCTCATCAAAGCTAGGACCGGTTACATCAAAATCACCAACTCCAAGTCAAATTGAAGTTGCGATGGAGTTGATGAAATTTCCTGGCCATCCGTGCCCCCCAGTGTCAGACACCTCACCTTTAAGCTGGACAGCGGGGGGAAATGCTGCAGTCGGTAGTTGTCCAGGGTGAGCTTGTGGATCTCCATCTGTAGGTCTTTGCGGTGGCCCAGGGACTTGATGCCCAGGGCCAGGAGGTCGTCCATAGACAGCAAGAAGAGCCGGCGCCCCGTGATGTTGTGCTCTAGCATGAGGTTGGCGTACTGGGCCAGATCGCTCCGCCGCTGGCCTGGAATGAGTCCAGTGTGATTTGGCAGTGTTTCAGACCATGAACAGCATGAGCAGTGATTCTTTCAGAGGGGGGGGCACTCATTATCAGAAAACAGGGGGGGATTCTAAGGTACTTTGGTAATTTTCATCCCCTTTCTTCCTTTTTTCCCTTTTTCCTGTTTCTTTCTTTCCCTCTGTCCTTTACATTGCCTATTTTCCCCTCCTGTTTTTCCAAAGAGGCAGTTGCCCCTTCCTTTCACTGCAACCCCTACAGTGAATACTGTTCCACAATGTTTTTAATTCACAGACTCAATCAATGATGTCGTAAGCACAAAGTACACTGCTACAGCCTCCAAGCTGATTCATCATTTCTTGGGTACACTTCCATGGCCTCTTGAAAAACGTGGCTCAAATTGTGCTGATGGAAAGGAAATCCCTTTTGGCAAATGAGTTTATAAGCCCTCCATAATTACAGAGTTTCCACTGCTTGAAATGTTCAAATTATCGGTTGGATATATGAAGTTGCTTCTAGATTTAATCTTGCGACTTCAGCCAGCAACAAGTGGCTTTCAAATGGGTCAGTCACAAATACAAGAGTAAAGACAAGTCTACGGGCTGGTTCAGGTGAATGTGAAAGTGAAGCAAACTTGATGTCATGAAACATTTGCAGCAAAATGTGCTCCAGTTGAAATGTGTTAACCATTTCCTGCCGGGTGCTTTTAAAAATGCAGTGCCAACATACGGGCGACTTTCAAGATTTTCCGTTTTCAAAATTCTTAAAAATTCACAATTTCATTTAATGGACGTTTACACCCACGCGAATGACTGTCTGGTAGCTACTCTAATCTGACAGGTAACCTCCATTGATGCCCGAGAGAGCCCAGAATTGTGAGGTGTTGCATAATTTCCTTTGCTCTCAGTCAAACACGGCTGGATCATGATTTGATTTGATGGCAAAAAAATTGGCAGTCCTGTTAGTTTTCATGAATCTGCCAATAAGTTCTGCGGTCAAACGACTTTACGACATGGTAAATATGATGACTAGTTAAAATTAATTATAGCAAACAAAGTTTTTTAGTTTTTGTTTAACTACACATTCACAGCTGACATATTCCATTAGACAGTTCATAAAACTAGTACAAATTAGTTCTGTGCACAGACTAATAGGAGGCTGATAAGACAAAAGCATTGTGAATGTCCTGAGAGAAAAAATTTCACCTTTAGCTTGGAGCTGCAGAACCCATAAGTAAACTTCCTGCTCACTCCAGTGGTTGGCATCATGTGCCGAATCGGCACCGAAGGGAACGACCATCTGGCTGGCGAGGGCATCCTCCAGGTGACGCAAGCGGCTCTCTCGTGAGTCCAACTTGTTCTCCTTGTCTTTCAGCTGTCGTTCCATCTGACGTAGCCTGGTCATCATCTCATCAATCTCAGTTCTTTCCATGAAAATTTGATGAAACTTGTCAGCTATTTGGTACTGTTTGCAATATGGCATGAGAGGGCTTCGCAGACCATGTCTAAATGTCCTGGCTGCAGCTTCAACTTACAAGCAACTCTTCTGGAAACGGCTACAGCCACAACCACCGATAAGTTTTTTATTCATATTCAAAATGCAGCAGGTAGTCGGGCATGGCCATAGTTTAGCTTTGAAGTGACCTTTGCCCTTTGGTACCTAAATCCCACCAGAATTCAAGGTCACAAATTTACTCATGAAAATGCATGGACGAAAGGAAAGAAAAGACCCTTTTTCACTGCAGTGACCTTGACCTTTGACCCCTTGAGCCACTGTCACAAACCCCAACTAGTCGTGAGCACTTTTAACCAGTGAGGTCATGGGGTTGTACACCAAGATTCAAACTTTCATGCTAATAAACATAATTAAAAGTCCACACACGTACAACGTAGAATGATACAACTAAATCGTTGTACAACTTTTAGACAATTCTAGTTGTTCAGGGAATCCTTGTTACTTACTTCCATTTTTCCTTCTGCATGAGGAACGTTCCTGTCTCTTCTGACAAGGGTTCTGTGTGGAAAGAGAAGTCAGTGAGATTGTCTCATTACTACAACAATAACATGAAGCGGTTGAATGCTGGATGGGTTTGTGTATGCAACTGAGCGCACTGAGTTTCAACGTGACAAATCACACATTAATGTTATTAAGTGCATGTTAAGTGCTTACTGATTTCAAAATGCACTTATAATGTTGCTCAGCTCTATCGCTAATTAAGTATTTTTCTACATTTGTTTCTTTTGAATGAATACATACAGTGTATACTGAAAAGCTTCCTCCAGAAACTCTAAAATTCATGACTTGAAATCATATGGATCATCTTGAGAAACTGCTATTAAAGTCCGGAGCTAATCATATAGAGAGTGGTGACATGAATGTCTCCATTGTTGGAACCGTAGTGGTGGATTATGTACCAGTGCACATGGACAATTAGCACACAATAGCTGCATGCTGGACTGCGCGCATAATCAACGGGCGTTGTGGTGCCAAAGTCTGAAGTTGGCGCTACTCTCTCTCTTTATAGCTCTGGTTATGCCATTCTCCTGGAGACTAGCATCATGGAACCCTCCCGTCCCCCAGCTCTATCTCATCAAAGCTCTCTCCTTACTGTCTTCAATCAGGCAATCCAGCGTCTTGAGGATATCCTTGAAGGCAGGTCGACTCTTGGGATCCGTCTCCCAGCAGGGCCGGATCAGGTCTGCCAGCTTGTCAGGGCACGAGCTCGGTATGGTCAACCTCTAACGGCAAACCACAGGCAAGGTTAAAGGTTATTCATTTCTTCAATTTATTTTACTAGAGTAGCCAGAACAGCAATAAGACAACTGTTCTTCCAGTGGCTATGTCTCATGAAACAACCCAGAATATTTCTATGCCCCCAGGATGGAAAGCTAGTCCATCACAGGCTGCTCCTGAGCTAATGACTGTGCCCATTTGCCTTGCAGAGCAGCAGGTTGATACAATTAACTGAAAGCACTGAACCGGGCATACCTGGGTGTGAGCCCAGGATGGCAATGGTTGTCTGTTCACAGGAACACATTGGTATATTTTTCTTCCGTTACACAAGAACATTTACACAAGTCCGTGTTACACATTGCCTGACCCACCTCATTTTTCTCAACCACTGCCCAAGCAACCTGGTACCCCTCCACTCCCCTGAAGGGTACCTCTCTGGTCAATAGCTCCCACAAAACCTGAGGACAAAAACAAGGGGAAAATATTGAGACATTGGAATGCTTTTCTTCCATACTCCTATTTTACAGTAAACTTTGTAAGGTTGAGTCAATTCAAATAATTAAATATTCCAATATTTGAGCTTCCAACTGATCAAATATTCCAACACTGGGCGGCATTAAATTGCCCCCCCCAATACAAGCTATACATATTAGTCTAGTGGTCTACCAAACTCGTTGAGTTTCAAGACAGGGGTCCATCCCGTTAAAAGCACGAGACAGGTGGATATTCTGCCTGAGTTGGTGATTTATTTACTTAGTCCCACTGAGACCACATACTACAAAAAGTAAAAAAAAAAAATTCTTGGCCTTATTGTTAAGCATTAGTGCATTGAGTGTCTTTAAGAAAACCCTGAAATTAACTTTTATAATGCAATTTTGCAACCAAAAAGATCAAACTTCTCAATTACTCTTTCTATGTTTACCCCTAAACACTCTGTTTTGAAAAGAACTAACTGAATATTCAAGAACTGATCAAAAATCTGAATATTCAACTTTGCGGCACAGCCCAAGTTTAGCTCTTCCATTTGGCAATTTCATGTTTGTGTCTGACAAAATGAAATTAATCATGTTTGGTTTGGTTTGGTTTATTATTAAAAAACTCAATAGCAGCCAGAGGCTGAATTACTGAGAGTTTTACACATTTTAAGATTACAAGAATTACAACATCAACACAAAATTAACCGAAACAAGACAAAGTAATACTCTAAAAACGATGAACCTAAAAACAATATATGTTGTAGGTAATTCCAGAAATTAGAGGTCCATTTTTTGTGTGTCCCTGTCACATCTGACATATGATTTTGTTAAGTTCAGAACACATTTTCTAATTTCCAAGAGTGATGAATTAATGCAAATTACCTGCCAAACAAATAGTGATAGTTTCAAATTCATTCTGGTGATATTTCAATGTCAAATAACGGTCAGATGTAACAGGGACACAAACATGTCACACTTTTGGACCCCTAATTTCTGGAATTACCCTTGTGCAGTCCAAACTCTGGGCATGAAATGCACAACACTGAAGAAAGTGAAGCCAATCTCTAACATGAAGCCAAAGTTTGGGGAAATGGCTGTGACATGGGCCCTAGTTCCAAATGAGGGAACTTGACGGAGTCGTTTGCTCACAGAAAAAGTCCTCTTTCACTTCTGGGACTCACCACTCCATAGGAGAAAGTGTCACACTTCTCAGAGACTGCCTCGCCCAGGATGACCTCTGGCGCCATCCAGGGGAAGGTACCTGCCATGGTCATCACCGCGGTGCTGCCATGGAAACGGGAGGCCCCAAAATCAACCAGCTACATCCAACATATGATAAAAGGGTAAGTGCTTGGGTTAACAAGTTGAAACTTGGAAAATTCAGCATTGGATGTTCATTTTACCGAGAAACCAAATGCATTGATGTTTGGTAGTCCAGCAGATTTGTGCTAAAAGTAACCCCCTCAATGGTGACAAATAGAAAAGATGCACTAACATGGGGATGACATTGCCCATTCACGCTTAATTGCTAGAGTCGGCAGCTCCCAATCGCTGAGTCAGGGGTTGGTACCTCAGGGGAGTCACTTCACCCCCACCTCCACCCAGGAGTATAAATGGAGTGCCTGTGAGGGCAGAAAGGGTTACTGTAGTTGGTTTATGGCAAGGAACATGCAGAGACTGAAATGGCTGAAACAAGCCGTATGTACATGTACATGTACATGTACATGAACTCCCTGGGGAAATGCTCATGGGCCCAATTAACAGGGATGCAGTGCCTTGAGCACCAGTAATGGTGCACAACATCTTTATTATTACTGAGCATATCTTTTGATGTGTTAGTCTAAAAAGAAATCATTGCGAAACGCAGTCATGACAGTGAGCTCTCTTTTTCCATTGGCCAAGACTTGCAAAATTAACAATGTGATCGA